TGCAGCACGACGGTGTAGGTTAGGGTTGCGCGTGGAAGGGGGCAGGGCGCGGCGCGCGGCGGCGACACGAGGGCAGCAGCTGCTCCGCAGGTGGGGTCATCGGTGGCATCAAGGTTAGAGCCGGCTGCAGCTGCTCCTCCAACTCCTCCAAGGTTGGGGTTCCTGCCGCGGGCGCGGGTGCCCCTTGCTCTCATGGTCGGCTCCCCAAAATGAGGCGAGTGACCAGCAGGAGTGCCAGCCTACAGCCGCAAGCAAGGGTGACCGGCCGCACATCGCCGCTGTCAGGCGGGTGGGGAAGCCCGAGAGAGTGAGCAAGGCACACAGCACGATCAACCAAACAGACGCAATGACCCTCATTCCAGCAGCATGCAGGAACAGTCCTGGCCGCAAGCCGAACCCCGATGACAGCTGTTGAGGCATCACGCGCCACAAAGAGGCTGGCCGAGGGCTCACAGCCACAAACCCCGCGGCTTACGGTGCGCTTTCGCCTGCTCCTTGCGCTGGCGCTCGTGCTCCGTGAGCCCTAGATGACGAGGCAGGGATGTGCGTAAGAAAAGGGAGAGACGGTTGGTGTCGCTCCACTGACACGATTGAGCAGCCGAGGCGTCAAGTTGGTCTGACGCCCATTTCCACGCCGCGCCCCGCAGCCCCCGGTCCGAAATCGTTTCCAGAACGAATAATAGTCGGCCCTCCTTTTTCCCTGTGCATGGCCTCGCTAGTCAGCTCCCGTGAGACCATACAAGGTCAGACTTCAGACTACGCAAGGCTTGAAGTTGTTTGAAAAACGGTTCGCGGAAAGGACCTCGTTTAGCCTGGATGGTGGCCCCGCCTCCCACTAAAGTGGCACTGTTCTGACACCCCGCGCGCCCCGCGCGATTGCCAGCCTACTCCGCCGCGCTCTTCGCGGTACCTCAGCCGCGTACATACTCGGACGCCACGGGAAACCAGGCTGGTATTTTTGCTCAGGCAAAGTCAAGTCGCCATCGCAATTCCCTCACCTCCTTGGGCCTCCGTGTAGGCCTCCCGGATGAAGCTCAGGATAGTCTCGTTGTCCTGGCCTTCGATACCCCAACCACCGAGCTCCTTATCCGATACCTTATGCAGAAAGAAGAGCAGCTTGCCTCTCTCAACGCTAGTCGCCCCGCTAAGGGCCTCGACAGCCCGCTTAAAGGAGACCACGACGATGCGTTGACGATGTTCGAGAGATCCCCTTGAAGGAAAGGAGGATTGAAGTGCACTGGGAGAGGCTGATGGGCACGGAATATGTTGCTTTCAAATGATGGATTTTTGTTCGGGAGCTGCCTGGAAGGGACTGAAGAAACCTGTCCGCAACTCGGCGCGAAGTTGTGCAAGGCGCCCCTTTCTAGGTACGGCGCTGGTCCCAGCGCAATTGGGAGCTTGGTAAATGCCCAACAGGCGGGGGCAAGGCCGAAAGGGAATTGGATGACTGTATATGGGATATCAAATAACCATAATCCTACGGGATATGCCCGGGGGCGCCCGAGGACGTTCGCTCGAAGGGTGGAGGAATGTAAGAAGGGTTCAGCTCCCTTGGCATCTCCCTGAGTACTCTTTGCCTGGTGTTACAACTGGTCTTGTCATTCGAAACCAAGTTGGCGCCAGTCTGCTTCTCGTACGTCCATGTGGTGGTGGTAACCGGATTTCAGGTCCAGGGTGAACATGTAGTCCTTAGGGCCTAGCCAGCCTGGGACCTGCACAAACTAGCGACTCATAGCGGAACTCCGGGATGTGCAGAAGGTGCTTATTCACTCCGCGTCCACCCCAGCTGAGGTGAAGCTTGCCTTTCTGCTCTAAAACCCCCAAGCGGCAGGTCATGAAAGGGCGGGACTGGAAAGGTTTGATGGTCTCCGACTCCAGCAAACCCTTGATGGCGGATGACGCAAAATCCCGTGGTCCTGTGCAGATTGGTAATTCGTACCCCAGTACGGCCGAGGGGTTGGTCCTGAGTGCCACAGCAGAGGAAGCCCTTGCAGGACCAAGCTCAGCACGAGCTGGTTCACCACTATCGCCTTCCAGACCGCGGCACAGGCTCTCAAGCGCCCCCGCATCCCTGCTACCTGTGCTAGGAGGTGCGGCTTCACAAGGCGGGTCATTGGGCAAAGGTGTCGGGTTCTCACCTTCTGGGCCCACTCTTTCTCTCCTCGATGGAGCTCCTGGGTCCAGGTGGGGTTCCTGGGCTTGCTGGGCGTCCTTGGTCCGGGGCCGGGTGGGCTCTGCAGGGCCGGTTGCAGGATGCTTGGCAGTGCTCTTGGTCTCAACTCGTGGGTAGGTGGAGGCTGCTTGGGCCCAGGGGCGCTAAGACCCGTGGCCACGAGCAGTGCACCCAGTACTTTGGTGGCCATATTCCCTGCATAGAAGGAGACGAAGAACAGGAGAGACAAATAGAGCCAGGAGCTCGTGGCAACTGAGGCTACAAAAGCGGGGGGAAGCCGCCGCTTCCGGGATGGCAGCACCCAAAGTGGGCTACATGGAGGCGACCTGCACCACCGGGGACAGGGGTCACCAGAGCCCGCAACCTGTTCGATGTCTCTGTGTCACTGTTGAGTACATGCTTGAAGAAATTCTGGGAAAGAAGAAAGGTCAGGTCCAGTCGAAAGCTGACCACCTGGGGCTGGGAGCCGCCATGGTCAACAGGACCAGACGAGCCAAAATGGCAACGAGGCCCCAAGGTCGATTAGCAGAAGCCGCCACCAATGGGCAAGAGTGCACATGTGTTACAGAAGGATCCAACGCCAGGGCCCAAACTCGGTGACGACATTTTCTAGCGGTGGAGGTCCGGGAAAAACCCGGATGTGCAACTTAAGCGGATCAGGTCTTGCCAACAACTGGGCCAATGCCTCCTCAGTTCCAACCGAATAAATGCGCGCCAGACTTGTGGGCCCCGGCAACAATGACTGCAAGCTACAGGGAGAGGCCACTGAGCGGTATTGAGACAAAAAGGGGGGGCAGGGCGGTGCCAAAGTCAAAACCGTGAGGCCAACAGAATTTCTTGATCAGCCATGCTTGGCCGGGCTGTGAGAGCAGTCTTCCTTCGGTAGGTAGAGGCCGGGTGGAGGCGCCAGCTACCGCGAGGCAATCCACTAGTCCTGGACACCTAACGCCTCACACAAGCGACCTAATGTGGCTACGAAACCCCAAACAAACTCTAGCACACCAGAGCGACCTCCTGAACTGTCCGGCATTACATGCCGTACCAACACGCATAACCATCTCTTCTGAGTTTACAGAAAACCTTCAGTTATGCACAAGTACGGGGCCGCCATTAACAGCCAGATAGGTGATGGTGGTCTACTGCCATTACTGTGAGAACATCCTTAACTGAGTCCGTATGTAGACAGCATAGGGTGTCAGTCATTTTGTTCCACAACGGCTTGCCAATGGAGGGCATTATTGTGGTATCACCCATCATAGCTCTATCCCTATATGGCACCTTCAACCTAACCCCTAACCAATCTGTACGGTCATCAGGATGGCCACTCATGGTTAGCAAGCTGTGTGTTCCATTATTGTCCACAATAATTTGGGCAATATTAACACACTCCTACTATTGGGTTGCAGATGACCTGTATGTATATCGCACAATTAAATGGCAAATACACTAGAACAGCAGGGAGCACATACATGGTGTGCCAAGGCAGCATCACGGAAACCAAGAAGACTGCCCCCCTGCTAATTGCCGTACGATCCAGGGAGGGTATGCTGCTGGACAACCAGTAACGGCCAGTAATGGCAGCATGCATACATGGATGTGCATACATGCATATGCACCGCATCCTAACGGCTGGTGTTGACCCAGCGCAAGTTCCATCCTCGCCGGACAGACAGACAGACAGACAGACAGACAGACAGACGAATCCCTCAGGCAATTCCTTAAACAATGTGAAGGCGGGAAACCGCCTCGCTCGGCCGTAATAACAACCCAACACACATCACAACGCATACACGTACAGAGGGGCTGAGGGGGCGTTGCAGTTGGATACAGAGGTCATGGGTCCGCGCTTGGGGCGGGCACAGCTCTCCCAAATCCTAAACAACTCCCCCTCTGTCCCCTCGCCCGGACTAAGGAAAACATCCTCCGAAACCAAATGTTGCCGCTTGCCGTACTCCTGCACTGAGTCCTGCTACCCATCCTGCCCTTCATCCTGTGCATCCTTTTCATGTTGCTGCTGCAACCCCTGATCTATGCCCCCCTCCACCCCGCTTCGGCGTTACTCCTCCCTTTCCCCCACCCCCACCCCCTCCTTCCTTCCCCCCACCCCTCAAACAGCGGCTCACGGCGCCAGACCCTTCTCCCCGGTATGCTCGGTGATGCTGTACAAGCATTCTGGAAGGCTCTTGGTGTTGCCGCCATTCAGACCTTCAGCCATGCAGGCGGGCGGGCAGGCAGTACGGCAGGCAGTACGGCAGGTACTTGCCACATGGGCCACATGCCGAAATGCGCAAAAATGGTGGCACGGCGCCACGGTACGGTGCAGCACGGTATACGGCGCATGGGGCGGGTGTAGTGAATCGGTCTGGGACTGGGAACCCGGCAGTATTCACCATCCACATTCACATCCACATCATCATCACCACCGCCACCACCACCGTCCCAGGGCCATCCAGGTGCTCTCCAGGTTCTACTTCTTCTTCCAGAGGTGGCCTGAGGCAGCTGCTGCTACTGTGACTGCTACTATTGACGACTCGTCGGAAAGTTTGTCTGGAGGGTTTGCCCGTGTGGGGGGAGGGGGACCGGGGGAACAAGGAGGAATCCAGGGGGGGTGTCATTAGCCCCCAACCCCCACAGCGCCTCCCCTCCCCCCCTTGCTGGCCTGGGTTATAAACCTCGTGCGTTCGTACCGTCCTACCTACCTGCACGTGCGCGAGATCTACATTACCCACCGGCATTCCCCCCCGCATTCCCCTGCCTCTCCCCCTCCCTGCCACCCTGCCACCTGCCACCCTGCCACCTGCCACCCTGCCACCCCCCACTCCGCCCGCTACGCACCTCCTTGGCTTCTACAGCGATGGCTGACGTCCAGTCCCACTAGCTCGGTCTCCACACTCACTCGCAGCAAACCAGCCTGGAAGGGCCGCGGCAGAGAGGAGTGGGTGGGGTGGAGGAGGGGGCGTGTACGACATGTCGTGATTGCGATTTAGGTTTTGCCACTGGTTACCTCGTGGGAAGAGGGGGGAGGGGGGAGTTAAACGATTCACCGCGTTTTGAGGTGCGGTGCGGATAGGTGTGAGCATGTGGGGGTGATGTCAGTCCTCCGTCCTCCGACCTCCGTCCCACATGGGGCCTCCTCTCAGCCCGCCCATCGCGACATAGATACATACATACGCATACACGGCTTGTGTGCGTCCCCGTCCCATCCCCGGTGCCCCCCCGCCGCCCCTTCAGGCCCTGCTCCCCCTCCACACACCTTATGCAGCAGGTAGAAGAAGGTGCCCATCATGAAACACGACCAGCCAATGACGGTCACGAGCTGCGGGGGGGGCGGGAGAGTGACCGAGAGGGGGAAGGTGGAGGACGAACGCGAAAGAAGGTGGAGGGGGAATGACATCCATTTCACACACACATACACACATACACACATGCACACATGCACACATGCACACATACACACATACACACATACACACATACACACATACACACATACACACATACACACATACACACATACACACATACACACATACACACATACACACATACACACATACACACATACACACATACACACACAATGAGTGCACCAGCCAGGACGGCGGACGAAAGGGGAGGTGGAGAGGAGCCCAGGGGGCCAAAAGGGGGATGGGTAGAAAAAAGGGTTCAGAGTGAAGGAAGTGCGTGTTGTGCGCGTTCCACTTCGAAGGAAAGTTAGCGGGACACCTGGCGTGGGTGTGTTCGTGTTACGAGTGTCTCTCGCTCTGTCGTACAGCAGAGGCTCTAACCCAGCCAGGGGAGGATGGAGGGGGAAAGAAGGGGCTGTATGTATGTCCGGTTCGGTTTCCCAGACGTGCAACAGCCTGCGGGGCTATCTTCCGCATTGGGGAAATGTCACCCATGCTGTGTCCCCTCCCGTTGGAGCTTGCTGCCCGAAAAACAGCTGGGGGCTGGCGCTTTTTCGTCCGTCAGGAGATTGGGAACATGGAAACCGACCCAATATCCTGGTCCTTCAATGATTGTTATTGGTCGCGGCAGGACACAAAAACCACTCAGTATAATCGGCCATTTCGCAATTATGCGTCGTGCCGAAGAAATAGCTTGCTACGGTGCCGTCTACGTGAAAACTTAAGGTCAATAAAATGGGCGACAATTCAAAATCCAAAGGAAAAAATAGCAAATTTTCGATAATTTTCTCAAAAACATTCGGTTATTATTTACGGTAGCCACGCTGGTTTGTTTCCTTCGTGTCTTTCTCCCCCGGTTGAAATGTGTAAGTGGTCGTGCGAACATGTACCTCGATGAAGTTGGCGAGGAGAATTTGGCCATGTCCGCCGTACAAAATGCCGTACCTGCGTACGGGACGCAGGCGCAGCCGCTTTCAGCAGGAGAGTTGCGTGCGGGAGCAACCGCCGACAAACCCCATGTATGCATGTATGTACCTGCCAATACACCGTGCCATCTCCCCCCGTCTCCAAGTCCACCCATCCCCATCACCCCCCACCCCCGCATTATCCACTCACCGCTTGGTATCTTTGGCATCGACACCCCATATTCTACTGCCGTACACCTGCTGTACGTAATCTGGACGAGCCAGTAGACCCGGGAATAGCACCCCAAACATGCCCACCCCGCCGTGAAGAGGGAAGGCGCTGACGGGGTCATCGATCTGACGGGGACGGATCAGGGGGTTTTAGGGTTGGGAGGGGGGGGGCAAACTATATTCGTGTGTGTGGGGTGGGGGGATCAGATGCTTTGGAACCCACTATTGCCTCTTAGCACCTTTCCTCTACCAGCAGCTATGGACGGCCCCTGCCCATTCCGCTGCAGTGCCGTACATCAACATAACACACAAGTATGCCTCTCATTTTCCTCAAGCCCATTCGCAAACCCACCCGCGACTCCGCTGCAACATGATACATACACATAAACACGCGCTTTATCCCCTTCTCCCCTGCCCAAACCCCCCGTCCACTCCCTCTCCCTGCCCACCTTGAGCACGTACAACGTCAGGTAGTCAAACAGACAGAACAGCACCGCTGCAATTAGGCCGCAAATGATTGCAGCCCATGGCTCAATGACCGCTGACGCGCCCGTCACCGCCACTAAGCCCGCTAGCACGCCGTTGCACACGGCCACCGTATCCCATGACCGCGTCACGAGGTATTTGTACAGCAGCATACCCACACCCCCCGCACCCGCCGACATTGCCGTACACACGGCCACCCGTGAAACGGTCTGGGCGGCGAGGGGGGTCGAAATGATGAGGTTGGATCCCTGGAGAAAAGGGGGGGTATAGAAGTGTGTATGGTGTGTATAGGTTGGGGTAGGTGCTTCTGGAGAAACCGGCGGTTGGTGGTTGGAGACGCAGTGACCGGAGGGCTCGAGCGAAACACCTCACAGCCTCTCAGGAGGCTGACACACACACATACATACACACATACACATACACACGCATCCACATACATACACATGGTTCCCCCGTTAAGATCCATACACACTCCCCACCTACAGGGTTGAATCCGAACCAGCCAAACCTGGGAGTGGGGAGTGGGGAGTGGGGAAGAAACACAAGAGGGGTTACGAAGGGAAGGAGTTGGCGGCGCCACCACGTGTACGAGTGTGCGATTGTACGACTGTACGATTGTACGACTGTACGATTGTACGACTGTACGATTGTACGAGTCCCTTGGATCAAACATCGCTTCGTCATCGTAATCTTCGTCGTTTGTTATGTCAGTCCGACCGTAGCGGCTCAGTGTACGGGAAGACATGAGGACAACGCCATGGGGTATCTATGGCCCCTCTGCTCCCCTCCATCCCCTCCCCCTACTCCCCTCCATCCCCTCCCCCTACTCCCCTCCATCCCCTCCCCCTACTCCCCTCCATCCCCTCCCCCTACTCCCCTCCATCCCCTCCCCCTACTCCCCTCCATCCCCTCCCCCTACTCCCCTCCATCCCCTCCCCCTACTCCCCTCCATCCCCTCCCCCTACTCCCCTGCCCACCCACCACAGCAGGAAGGTGCCCATCACCACCAGAGTGGCCGAGTGACCCTTCATCTCATTCACAGTCCCATCAGCACCGAACCGGCCCACGCGGGGCCCGATGATCCAGGCGCCCATCAGAGAGGCAAATCCGCCTGAACAATAACAATAACAGCAACCGCAACAAGGACGGCAACGGGAGCAACAGGAGCAGTGGCAGCCGAGGCATATCATTAGCGGCCCCCATTAGTCACACGGACCCGTTGCATGTCGCGGGGCCGAAGAGCTCAGCTGTCCGCCCCCTACCCCACCCCTCTCGGGCGTTCAGGACCCTCCAGCAGCTCCTCTTTCCATGTGTGTGTGTGTGTGTGAGAGAGAGTGTGTGTATGTGTGTGTGAACGTTACAAGTATCTGACCGGGCCTGGCACTGGCCAGGGGCTGCTGCCCAGCCCCAACGGAAAGACTCTCTCCCGCGGACGGGAGAGGGATGTGAGGGGCCTCTGTTCCCCCCTAAGCAGCCGAGAGCTACAGGTCCGCTAGTTCCGCTCTCCTCCCCCCGGGTATGGGAGGCGTCACATGCGCGCACGCTCTCACGAGTCAAGGCTCCGTCACGCGAGTTTGCGCACTGAGCCGGAAACACGAAACAAGAAGACTCCTCTCCCTCCCCGGCCTGATCCGGCTCTTGCGGTGAGGGTTCGCTAAGACAGAGGAAACCCGGAAACCCTGTACATACCCTACCCCTCCCTACTAAGGCAAGAAACTCTCGCTAACGACCTGTCGAGCGCACGCTCAGGCACTTCCAATTTAAATATATGAGATTTTTTTCAACCCTTTACTACCTTTTTGGGATGATTAGAGAATAGTTCACCCAAATTAAATAACTAATAACTAAAAACGGGGGGCGGGCGCGGACTAGGCTAGCATCTATCAGTTCACCGTCGGGGCTAGGGATGCCTCTAGGCAACAGCACCACACCACTCGAGGCAGATTTCACACAGCATCACCCAGTCTGCTCTACAGCCACCCCCTTCGCCTGGGAATCCTCCAAGCCCCCTACAGCAAACGACCTCTCAAAGAACCTCCCTTTGCCCCTGCCTGGCGCAAACTGTGGCAAGGCGTGTGTGTCTGTGCGTGTGCGTGTGTGTGTCTGTGTGTGTGGTTTGTGTGCGTGTGTGTGTATGTGTATAAGTGTGTATATGTTGGGGAGGGAGGGTACTCAGGGACATGAGTTGGAGAACAACCTGGATAATTTAACATTGTCCCCAAGCCAATCCCTAGAGGTGCACAATGTCGCCCCTGTAACTGACCGACCGACACGGTCCAGTCAGTCAGTCAGTCAGTCAGTCAGTCCGTCAGTCAGTCCGTCAGTCAGTCCGTCAGTCAGTCAGGGCCGCAGTGGGGCCCAAATCCGATCCCTGAAGGGGGAAGGGGAGCACGTGGTCGCGGCTAGGTCGCAACGGTGTTTCCTCTACCTACCCCGCGCCTACCTGGGAATGGGGGCCCCTGACCGCCTGGACCTTACCTGTCATGTGTACGACACCGCTCCCAGCAAAGTCGATGGCGCCCACCTTGAGTATGGAGGGGTAGCCGCCGTCTGAACTGCAGTCCGGGACCGGGACCGGGGAAGGGAAAGGGAAAGGGGGGGACGACGAGGAGGGGGGAGGGGAGGAAGTGAGGAGCGTGCCATTTATCTGGGGACTTCGCCAGTGGCTGTACAACACAAGCGGCTATGACAACGTAACAATGACGAGGAATCAAGGAATCTGCAGCTGCAGCTGCGGCTGAGACTGGACACAAACAACTAGGGGCTAATCGCGGTCGCTTGGTCGATCAATTGGCACTCGCTCAATGGCTCCGTCGCTCGCTCGCCCGGGTCAATCATCGATTGGTCAGTCGGCCGCTCACTCACGTGTTGTACACTGACAGCCATCCATTGGCTCCCCAGACCCAGTGCACCACCACCGGGTACACAAAGGAGGATAGGAAGAAGCTGTAGAGCAGGTAAGCGATGAAGTTGCAGCGCTCCGCCACTGCACCCGACAGGATGGTGGTGGTGGCGGCGCAAAACGACCACTGAAAGAAGAAGTTGTGCCAGCCCGAGCTGGAGAAGTCGGAACCACCATCCGGTGAGATCTGTGTGGTGTAACTGGTCGGCCAGGGGACAGCGGGGGAGGAGGGGGTAACTGTGGTTGTGGCAGCGGTTGTAACGGAAGTTGCAACGGATGTTATAACGTTTAAGTTGTAACGGAAGTTGCAACGGGTGCTGCAACACAAATAGTAACGGGGGTTGTAACTGGAATAACGGAGGTTTTAACGGGTTTCTAACCGAAGTTGTAACCGAAGTTGTAACGGGAGTTGTAAAGGAGGTTTCAACTGGAGATTTGATGCGGAAATGGACAGAAGAGGGAGTTTGAGGTTTGGAAGGGCTCTAAGGGATTTGGTTTTCATGAGATTTCGCATCGTAGACTTAGCACATTGAGGTTTTGGGTGTGTTGTCGACGCCGTGTTAGCCGCACCCGTGTGGGTGTTTGAGAGGTCGCAGACTCGGCCCCAATGCCCTGACCTCCCTAGGGAACCATTGGCTGGATGAGTATGGAAAGTCCTATTTTGCGCGCAGGCAGGCAGGCAGGTGCGGGAGCTGCAGACGGTTGCACGAAAATGGACGCGACCCTGTAATAGCTGGCAACCGCTGAAAAGGCCTCTCGAGATGCTGGTGGTCGCGCTTAGCGCGTATTTGTAGGCGTTATGTGTGCCGTACTGTGTACCAGCTACTACAGACCCGCCCAGCCCCCAAGGTCTGTGCGGCACGGCGCAGGCCCCCCCTGCTGCTCCATATCGTACAAAGCCACCAAGTCCGCACCTGAGAGCGAAGTTCCAATTACCAATGAAGCCTGCTTGAGTGCACATATGACAGGATACGGGGAAGGAGAAAGGGCAGGGAGCGGTATTCAGCCGAGAACTCACAGTCACGAACTCATGATGCAGTACGGCAGTCCCACAAATACAGCTCGCGGCAGGACAGCGAAGGACTCCTGCAACTCAGACCATCTCGGAGCACGGACAGCAGTGGGCCCGATTCCCCCCTCCGAAGGCAGCACGAAAAGACACAAGCAGCTGCTAAATTTACTTTCAAATTTGGATCGAAAGGAAATTCTCTCTTAGGCCGCCCGTGACAAAGTTGGCGAGCGTAGACACACTGAGTGCCTCACCACGTCGCAAGAGATCGCGTGTTGGGGCCGCAACAGACATTTAGGCAGGGCTAACCATTACGAGTTAACACTTGTAGGGTTAAACGTGATGAAAACCAGGCATGTTACGTTATTCTCCAAAATCAGAGAGCTTTTGGTAATTAAGCAGAGCGAATATCCTATGACTAATTAAGCAGCGCGATGTAATCGAGACGTGTCGACGAAGCAAGCCGACGACTCGACTTGTCGGCAGTCACGCGCTCGGCTCCCCAATCGTCCATCAGCCTAAATCGTAGCTAAATACATGTCTGAACCCACCGTTGCCGTCGCTTCCCGGCTTTAGGCCAAATGCGAATGCGTATCTGCACGAGGGAGGGAACGAGGAATAGCTGAGACGGAAGATCTGACGCGGGCATGCGCTTATGTGCCCCCATGCACGTAGCGGACGGGGAGGGGTCATATTTGCTTAGGTTGCGAAGACGACGCTGCTGATGGCGGCCGCCATTTCCGCACTGCTCGAGAGCGTCACATGAACATGCGCATGAACATGTGGATATGGTCAAGTGGCGGGCGTTCACGGGCAGCAGACAGTAGCGGCGCATCTTCTGTTTTCTGTGGCACAAGGAAATCACTAGCCGAAAAGATTGCGCTTGTAACCAGACTCTGAGCCGGTGCTTGAGATGGATAAAGGCTCCAAAAGCAATATTGCCAAGCGCCCGCTGAACCCTATAACTTACCCAAACAGATAGAACCCGATAGCCCCGACGCAGGCGTCCAAGACGTTCTTGAGTAAAATGTTCATGCCTAGTGTACACAGTTATCACATGGCGCAAAGCAGAGAGCATGTGGGATAACTGCATTTTCCGTTGAAAGTGATACCGAGCCAAACATGAACACTTCGCTGCCACTTCGTAATAAAAGACTAGCAATTTATGTTAGGCGTTAACCAGCCGCGCTTGTTTACTTAGCAAGGCTCAGGCAGCGCAGGTGACCTTACCACCACTTTTTTGCTTGAGGATTCATAGACTTACAGTTTTTGGTGCGGATCGACCCGGCGCAGAGCTGCAAGGCAGGATATAGCTTGAGTTATGGGATTATGGTCAGTCGCGCGCCTCGCGTTCACGGTTGGCACGTGGAGGCCAAGCCCTAATCAATCGAGCCAAGAAGCGACCCGGCTTACTTACCACAGCAAAACCTGCGATGAGAGTTAAATTGGAGAATGTCAGCGTGCGGGGCCAAGCGCAATTAATGCAAAGGGTCGCAACGGATAGCGAGGCTCGCATTGCACCTTCTCGGCGTCTACGGATTGCAGCATGCCGCAAGTTCCTCACCGAGCTGCATCATGAAAACCATGTAGCCGTTGTAAAGCATGAAAGCGACGTCCAAGCTTCTGGCGACGTCAGAGGCCTTCGTGTTGGCTGCGGCCGTCCGAGCCAGGAGATAGACGTTAAGGCAATCCTGGAAACCCTGGCAGCCCTTTGGGGGCGCACATAGCTGATTGATGTCTGCCTCTTGGAGTCCATAATTTTGCAAGCTTTGCAGCGTCGTAAGGTCGCATTTACCCAACGGCTCGCTGAAGGACGAGGCGCCCATTTCCTTAAGGTTTTCGTTTTATTGAATTAACACGCCAGGATAACTTAGGTAGAGGTACATCCAATGGTACTGAGCTCCTAACTCCTCTAGGCACAACTTCCAACCGTACAGTCTGATCGAACGCACGAACGGTTTCCGGATCGAGCCCGCCCGGCTCATTTAACCCCAACAGCCTGGATGTCACAACGCACTTAGGGACCAGGCTCTAGATCTAGGTACCCGGCGTACTGTTTTTTCCAGTTCAAGTTTTCCCTAACCATGTAATCAGGCCAATCCTGTCCAGCCCCCGGACAACCACTGCTCATCCAAGTATGGAGGTAGGCAGTTGTGAGCGGTATTGCCCATTATCAGTGTAATTGTGGGAGATTGAACTCGTAAGATTGAGACTAGCCAGCGTTTGAGGTGGTCTCGGAGCCACCATTAAGGAAAGAATGAATACAAATGCCTATTCGTGCTGGTTGTAACCTTATTGGGGATAGCTCTTGGCTATGAAGATAATTCCTAAACAGGAAGCTGATCAGAGCAGCGTTAACATGTGCCGTACCCGTATGTTATTTCCAGTTTCATCGATATGTCCTTTCGTTGCTGATCCACATGCGTCGAAAATCTCTCTTTATGCTTTAAGAACATCTCGGTTTGTCGAATCATTTCACTTCGGCAGTATCGATTCTCCATGCCGCTAGCAAGCGTCAGAATTTGAGCTCTTTGACAGCATGCGTGGACTAGGTCGCGCGACCTGCAAGGAACAAACCAGGTACGCAATCACCGCCCTAGCGGCAGCGGTCAAGGCCTTGACCGTTAGTACACGACCATTAACGCGAGGGCACCGGAACATCTATGCTATGCCCCAACGAGCCGTGTCACAAGATGCAACGGTCCCGTGGGGCTTTGGATCTTTTTCTCTCAACCATTAGATACCACCTGTGCAAAAACCCTAAAGCAGTCCTGGCCAATATAGCCACTAACGTCCAACAAATGTCCTCACCACAGTCCCCAGCAGGCACATAGCACTTCACCACCCCAACCAGGACCACCTTAACAACCCTACAGATTTACTCCCGATTTCATTAAGAAATTAAGCCCCTAGAGTCCCAGCATTGAGGGTTAACCTCGGTTCGCACACCCGCAGCCGGCCCATCCATTCTCCCCGCCATTCCGCTGCTCCACCTAACTCCTTCCCCTCCCTGGGGCCGCTGCGTTTCTCTCTGTCACCTCTCCCCCTCCTCCTCGGCCCGCTTGAGTTAGGCTCTCCCTACTCCGTACAGCCCTAGTCCCTCCCAGGGCCACGTCTTGTCTGTGCATGGCGCTCATCTCCATCCCAAACTTGCCCCTTCGCATGTCCCTCTTCTTCGCATCGCCTGTTGACCTCCGCACTCCCCTCCTCGCACCTCTGCACTCCTCTCCTCCTCCTCCCCTACTCCAGGGATGAGCTCCTGGAGGCCGTGCGGGCGGAGCGGGCGGCTCGTAGCGGAGTTAAACAGCGAGCCCGGTCTGCGGGGGTGATACAGCGGTTCTGGAGGGGATATCGTGCCCGGAGGCACCTGAGGGAGATGCTGATTTCGGAGTGGGCAATGTCGTACGGCCCCATGGTTGCAGTACAGGAGGCGCGACTCAGCGGTCGGGATGTGGCAGGTAAGGCCGGGGGATGATTCGTGTTGTAGTGTGTGTGCGAGTCAGCGGCTGGAGTGGGAGTCCATATTGCTGAAGTACAGTCAGGGCTGGGGATTATCTTTCAGCCGGCAAACAGGTCAGCCAGCCAGCGTGTCGGTCTGTTTGTCTGTCTTCCCGTCTGTCAGCGAGCAGGCGCCCCTGGGTGCGTTTCCTCGCGGGAGCCCCAACCCGGGGCCACCACACGCTGCCGCCATTGTGGCTGTTATCATCATGCAGGGCCCCTAGCCTCGGCCCCTCACTCGGGTCCCTATGCGTCCGAACACCCTCCAGCTCTGTTTGCTGTCCCATCAGCGCCAACCAACCGCCCTTTTCCTCTCCGGGGGCTCTGGACACCTTACCTCACCTCACCTCACCTCCCCGCGTATCACTCCACACACACCCGCCCTGCAGACAAGCTCCTACCGCCCCTGCTATACCTGTTAAGGCCACAACCAGCGGCGGCGGCGGCGGCAGCAGCAGCGGCTGCGCAAAGGGACAGCCGTGGCTCCACGGCTGCAACAGCCAATGACGACGCGGTGCTACTGCCGCCCCAGGGCAGTCCCTTGTCCAACATGATTCGCGGGTCCCTGGCGCTGTTACTACGCACATGCAGCGCGAGCGACCCGCGGGACAGTTATCTGGCTATAGCGCTGGAGGGCGACGAGGCGCGGCGGGTGGGTGGAAATGGATATGAAGTGGGGAGTGGGAGTGGAAGTGGGTTCCCGCTTACCGCCCACCTGCGGTACGACTCCCATCCCAGTACCCGCCTGACCCTTAACCCCATTCCCGGGGGGCCGCAGGAGTTTAGAGGGGGGTTTAGAGTCCCAGCAAACCCACTTGCGAAGCCCGATACACTCCAGTGCTTCATGGAGCGAACAACTGCCTGTGGTTGTTTTAACTAAAGTACCGGTAGTACGCTCCCATGTGGCACCTCAATGACCCGCATAACAGTTTCAATAACCTCGCCCTCGCCCTCGCCCTCGCCCCGCCTTCAGGTCGCCTGGCGAGACCAAGCTTGGCGGCTGCTGTGCACCTGCTGCCGGCTGGTGGCGGCGCCTAGGGGCGTTACGACACCGCCACAACCGCCGCAACCGCCACAACCACCATCATCACTATCCGCCACAGGATCACCGCGGGTCCAGCACCCTCAGCAGCAGCACCCTCAAGGTCAAAGTCACGGCGGCAGTAATGCGGCCGCAGCCGGGGGGCCGTCTGCGGCTCCTTGTGGCGTTGGCAGCGGTGTTGGTGACCCGGTGGTAGATGCTGCGGCTATTCGGGTGGCGGTGCTGCTCACGGACTCCGGGACGTGGAAGTGCTTGGGGCAGGGACAGGGGGGAGGAGGGGGACCGGCAGGTAGGGGTGTGTGTGATGGGTGTGTGTGTATTGTTTTGGGGTGGGGAGAGGGGAGGTGGAGTGGGCAGGTAGGCCAGGTAGAGGTTGCTTAGAATTAGGGTAGTGTCGTGCAGTGCGGAGTTACTTGGCTGTCAGGGACTGACAAGAAAGGGTGGGGAGGGGAGGGGAGGGGAGGGGGACAAATAAAAGAGGGGCGGGGGCCAGGCGTGTGTGTGTGAGAACGATGGATATGTGTTGCTGCGACTGCTGCCACTTCTGCTTGGCGAACCCGCTTCTCCGCTTCCCGCCCTTCTCCGCAGCAACCACTGGCGGCAGTAGCAGCAGCGCAGGAGGCGGATGTGGCGGCAGTAGCGGCATTTCGGAGCGTGTCGCCGCCGCGGAGGCCGCTACTGCCCACTTCCGCAGCCGTCTGGTACAACAACCCCACAGCCTCTTCGCCGCACTGGCGCGCCTCCTAGCAGCAAGACGGCAAGCACAGCAGCAGCAGGACGGCGGCGGCAGCAGCACTGCCGCCACGGCATCACCGGCAGTAGCCGGGCAGCAGCAACAACAACTATCGCGATTACTGGGCTTGGCGCTGGCGGTGTTGCGGTCGGCACTGGTCCCAGATCTCAACCCGCCGGGAAAAGCGGATCCGGATCCATCACCAAAAAAGTCCGCCGGGCACTCAGTCGCCACCACCAACATCGCAACTGCTGCTGCTGCTGCTGCTGCTGCTGCGATTGCTACTGCAGACGCAGCTGCAGCTGTTGGCTTTAGCAGTAGCGGTGACGGCATTCCCTCGGGTTCCGGGTACCAGCGCTGCTTATCCGCGTTTTGTCGTCTGGTGCTGGTGGCCCCCGGGCTGGCGGGGCTGTTACCCCAGGACGTGCAGGTGCGTGAGTGGTGGGGGGGGGAGGGAGGGGGGTAGAGGCACCTCGTTATAGAAGTGGTGCAGGTGCGGAAGGGAAAACAAAGTACGGCAAAGGAGGACATACATACATACAGAGACATACAGACAGACAGAGACAGACAGACAGACAGAGACAGACAGACAGACAGACAGAGACAGACAGACAGACAGACAGAGACATACAAACATACAAACAGACAGACAGGCAGACGTGAACCTGACGGAAGGCAACACCAGCAATTTTAGGTGAGTGAAGTATTGCGTAGCTGTCCACACAACCCACCCAGCTAGCCACCCACCCATCCGACAGCTGGCTATGTTTTCCAGTATACTCTCTTACTGTCCACCATCGCCACTAGCACGTGCAACAGTGATGGAAGGGAGAGAGGGTCCCTTCGGAGGGTGGGAGGTCGGCTGCATCGCCCCACTCTCCCCGTTATCACCCCCGCCCTCCCCACCAAGGGTGCCTGTGTGTGCGTGTGTGTGCATGTGCTTTCAGTTCTACCGTCCAGCTGCTCATTTTAACCCCGTCACACACGCTCCTCCCCGTCCCCCTCTTCGGCCCTGCCAGCCCCCACCCCCGGCATCTGAACTGAATCGTGAAGGGAGCCCGCCTGGGTGCCTTGCGGTGTGTTGGTGGTGTGGTCGTGTGATCTGTTTTGAAAAACACCGGGATGTGGATGTGGGTGCCTTGCAGGTCCGCTTCCGAAGCTCGGGGGCCTTTGCCTGCCTGTGTCGCTCGGTACGACAGCAGTTGGACGAGCGTACGGTGGGAGACGCCACAGCGGTAAGGCAGCGACGTGCCGGGATTTTAGGGAATCGGGGGTTCAGCTGGGCGGGAATGGGAGGGAGGGGGGGGGTTACGTGACACATACCCCGCACCCCGCGCCCCGGGGCCTTCATGGGGCTATTAGGGGTTGTCGCTTTGTACGGCCCGTACCCCGCCCCACTGCCCTCCCCATGCATTGCTCCGTGCACCAGGCCCAGTCCCGGGGGCCCTCTTTGGCAGCTGATTCCCCTCCTTACTTGCTAGGGTTTGGACCCCCCGACCCCCGCGTACCTTCCCCCGCTCCCCTCCCGCTGCCGCCCAGGCCGCCTGGTGCCTCGCCAATCTGCTACAGCTGTTGCTGGGACCGCACATGCACTCAGTGGGGGGTACAGCAACAGCAGCAGCAGCAGGGGGAGGAGGAGGGGGTCGCGGGTTTGTGGGTGTTTTGTCTCCCCCTCCAGACTCGTTTTGGGGTGCGGGTGGGGAGGTGGCTTCGGAGCTGGCTGCCACTGCTGCAGCGCTGATGGAGCACATAATGGCCCGGGGGAGGTGGGTCGTCAGAAAGGGAGAGGGGGAATGCGGGGAGGGAGGGGGGGGAAGAGTGGGGTTTCGTGTGCTGACTCGCCAAGGGACTCCAACAGCAAGGCTGATAGTATAGCCCCTTTCACCGCCACTGTCCGTTTGGCTGACGTGCTGGCTTTGCGACATTAGGGCGGGATGTGTTCCTGGCAATGTCCGTACATCAGGTTGTACGGCAGCCCGGAGCTGGCGGCTGCGGTTTCGGGGCTGTGGCCCCTGGCGCAACGAGGCTTGCTGGTGCCCATGCTGGCGGCGCTGGAGGTGCGTACTTGCATCCGGATATTCGTATGTACGATGTGGAACACGGCAGTGATATGGCTTGTGTACAGTAGGCATGTACGGCAGCTCGACATGGGGCTTATGATAGCCACGTGATGCAACAGACATTTTAATTGTGTATACGGGAGGCCTGCCGTACGTACGGCCTTCAGGAGCCATCTCTGCCTTGGACGTCAACCCCCAAAATCCACCTTCCTTTCCCCCGCCCCACGCAATACACACAATTCCCGCAGTCCCGACCCGGCGGCGTGGAGTCGTACACTGACATGTGCTGCGCTGCCATGGAGCTGATGCCTCGGTATGTGGGAGGCAAAGGGCGCGGGGGGGGGATGTGGGTTGGAGGGTGCGGGGGAAACTGGAAACATGCAGGTCTGCCAGTAAGAGCTTGCCGGCAATTGTCTAACCAGACCAACCAGGCCACCAGCCTCTGAACCACGCCAATCCTCCCCGCTCCACTCCAATCAACACCCCCACCCCGCCCCGTCCCACAACCCTGATCCCACCAACCCGGGTCGTCGCCACAACCGAGTGACAGTCTGAGTGCCGCGTTTTCAGAGAAGGGCATCCGGGCAGGTGAGTGTCGTACCACAGTACTGCCAAATGCATGCACTGTCGTACGGAACGTTAGTGTGCAGTCCCCCCTCGCTCCCTCTGTCCATATTCCCCGCCCCTCACCTACATCCGGCATGTCATTTACCTCCCCCTTCCCTTCCCCTTCCCCGGGCCCCGGGTGCCCTCTTTTTCGCAGCAGACGTGCCCGGCCTGCTGAATACCCTGGCCTTCTCCCCCGGCTTGCTCCCCCGGCTGTGGCGGTGGCTGTGTTTCGCTGTCCACCTTCCCCTGTCATGCCCCGCGGGGGCCACCCGGTGCCTGGACGTGGCCGCACTGGCGGGGGGGTATGCTGGGGTGAAACCCAAAAGAGCGGCGAAAGTGCTGGGGCTGTTCTGCAGGTGTGTGTGTGTAGTATGTGTGTATGTATGTGCGTGTGTGTGCGTGCATGTGCGTATGTATGTGTATGTGTGTGTGCGTGTGTGAGAGTGCGTATGTGGTTCCTGGGGGGGATACAGCGGGGGGGGAGAGGCGCTGTTGAGGCTGTAGCCAGTCCAACAGGTGGTGGGGGAAGGAGAGGGGGCTGGGGGGGGCCAAGGGCGGTTTTCATTTCCGGTTGTGCCCCCCTGGAGTGATGCCTCACTCGCTACCCCATGCATGTGTTCTCCTGACCCCCGCAACCCCGCACCGCACCGCCGCGTCCGCAGGGTATACGCCCAGCTGCTGCTGGTGCTGGATGACGGGGAGTTCTACGAGCTGCAGCAGCCCCTGGAGCTCAGTGCGGCCCGGGCGGTGGGCACCTGCCTGAACTCGCTGGTGTTCCATACCTACCTGCCCAAGGTGGGGAAGGGGGAGGTCGTATAGCCCTTGGGAAGGGGGATGGGGGAGAGGGGTTTGCTCGGGGGGGTGAGGGGGGTTGATAGGGTAGGAGTGGTGGCCGTGCATTGTACCACAACTACAGCCACTTTTTAAGGTAGCGCCCTTTTTGAGGAGTGGGATGTCGTTTGTGGGCCTAATGTGCTTCTTTTGCAGTTTTCCTTGGGCCCCCATTTACCGTGCGTGTGTTTGCGTGTTTGCGTGTTCCCGCTCGTCCTACCTCCCGACGTAGCTACCCTCGGACGGCGCCCGGGCGGCCCCCGGCCCCGGCCCCGCCCTCGGCCCCGGGGACCCGGACTTTGCGCTGCTGCTAGAGTGGGCGCCCCGCCTGCTGCGTGCGCTGTACGAGCGAGATGTACGACGTCCGTACTGTCAGTCGTTGCTCTGGCTGGCGCCGTACAGGGAGATGTTTGGCTCTTCGGACGAGCAGCCGGGTAGGCGTGTTGGGTAGACCCCGGGTCTGTTTGTGCGTGTGCGTGTGTGGCGGTGGTGAGTCATCCACACAAACTCACACACACACACACACGCGCACATCTCCCCTTGGGTACATGTCCCACAGGGCCGCCGCCACCCCCGCGACCAAATCACGACGTCGATGACCCCTTCGCCGCCGCCGCTGCCGCCGCCGCCGCCGCCGCACCGGACCCCGCGGATGCCCGCATCGGGCCCTTCACCGCGGGCACGGTACTACAAGCCCTTATGTACAGCGCTGGTGCCGGTGGCGCTGGCAGAGATGACGAAGATGAGGACGGTGGTGCCGCCAGCGGCAGCGGCGGCGGCGGTACCGCGCCTGCTTTGCAGGTACGTTGTACGGGTGCATACAACGTGTCGTACGACTGGGTCCCGCGGAAGTATTGGATATGCGTTGCTGCTGCGGTGTTCCCCTTTCAATATTTAAGATCTCCTTGAGGGGCACCCCACTTGGGCCCTGGTCTCCACACCACCCCTCACACCAACATCAATTTCCCCTTCCCCTCAGCCCCAAGTATGTATGTGTATGTTATGTAGTGAAGTGAGTGAGTATGTATATCTGAATGTGAATGTG